TAAATTTATTATACTTTTAACTTTTTTTTTTTTTTTGTAGGAAAGGAAAAAAGAACTTACGCATTTGATTAAAAAATATCACCAAAGAAATGGTCATGTTATTTCCAGTTTCTCTTTTCCTGAATGTCTCTGATAACAGATCATTGCTATCATTAGTATGTCTGTTCATTGATTCTAATTTTGAATTTGATAAATTATGAAATTCCATATCATATTCACTGGTGACAGAGATTGACAATGGCGATTCTTCGTGTGTATAAATTGTTAAAGTCTATAATTGAATGATAAACATGAAATAAAACCGAGATATTTCTAAAGAATATTTGATAAATCAAAATATTAATATGAATAGTTTCCTAATTAACGATAACAAGTGTGAAATCAATTAGAGAGCCAAAAAAATCATAGGTTAAGTATAAGTATATTTGATCTATATTTGAGTATAACTATATTTGAGTTGAGTATATTTGTTCTATATTTGAGTATAAGTATATTTGAGTTAAGCATATTTGATACTTGAGTATAACTATATTTGAGTCAAGTGTGTTTGATCTATATTTGAGTATAAGTGTATTTGAGCTACGTATATTTGTTCTGTATTTGAGTATAAGTGTATTTGGGTTAAGCGTATCTGATATTTGAATATAAGTATATTTGAGTTACGCATATTTGTTCTGTATTTGAGTATAAGTGTATTTGAGTTAAGTATAAGTATATTTTGTTATATTTGATAAGCATATTTGAGTATATTTGATGTTAAGTATAAGTATATTTGTAAAGTATATTTGTTTCCGGTATAAGAATAAATAATTCTCCAAACAACCAAAATTTTCTTTCATCCATACTATGAATATTTTAATTTGCTGTAAATCTATCATCTTATTTACATGAAAAGCGGTATAAAGCGGAAAAGGAAAGGCGCAAATGACGAGAAGAATTCAAATTACATCCAATTTCAAGGAATAGTTATCTGGAAATAATTGGCTAGAAAGAATGTCATTAAGTTTTGCTATTATCTACGATAGTTCAAATATAATATCTTTTTTAGTACATTTAACAAGCTAATCCTATCACGACGATACCAAAAAAATACCACTCCTATTATGCTGTTAATTAATTTTCAAGTACCATTTCTAGTAATTAGGAAAATTTTCGATTAATCGATAATAAGCATTAATTAAGCTCATATTTGTAAATGACCTCTTCAATTCCTGATGGTACTGTAATTTTTCCTCTCTTCTGTTTTTCAGCTCTGCCGCTATGATACATCATTATCATTTTCCAATTGTTGTAAAGAATTTTCGATGCGTTTAATTATTCGGTACTTTCAATTTTCGAATTATAATTGTACATTTAAAATTTACCTAAAATTTTCTCTTTGATATGGATAGTAATTGAAGAATTGAAATTTAAAACAAAAAAAAAATTGAATAATTAAAAGAGTAAAATATTGAGGAAAAATTTAAAAATTGTTAATTAATGGATGAAATTTAGGAATGCTGCTAAAATTAACTTTTCTATTATTTCCATCCTTCCTTCTCTTTCATTTATCATTCATTGGTTGAAGTTTTTTTTTTTTTTTTTTTTGTGTTAAAATTACCATTCAAATGAATGCACTTCACATTATTCTTATTAGCAATACCCTCATACTTATACTTTTTTTTTGTTTTTTTTTCACTTTGAATTTTTCAAATTTTGGCCTAAAAAAAAAATTCCCCTCCCGATAGTAAGCAAATTTCTTTCGCTTTTTTTTTCTTGCAGTAACAATTTTTGATATATATTTAATATTCCAATGTGAATTATTTGTTATCCACATCCAATTACATTAAGTTATTTAGTAACAAATATAATTTAATTTTTCACATATTTAAATAATTTTAACAATATGCAAATTATACAAACCCAAAATAAATATAACTTATTGTAAATGTGATTGCATTCTTCTCATATATATTGTCCATGTGATTCAATTTTAGTAAATTTTAAGCTAAGGTTAAAGCTTGGAATCATTCCCTATCCATGTGATTCAATTTTAGTAAATTTTAAGCTAAGGTT